AGACACCCCATGCACGCTCCCACACCAGCGACAGACTATCTACCTGGTCCTGTGGCCGCCTGCGTGGCCGCTCCCTTCCACACAGCACACGCTCCCTGTCCCATCTGACGCTGTGTGCCTGGAGCGGGGCTGTCGCAGCCTCAGCACCAGCATCCTGGTGGCACTTCGGGGAGGCCTGGCCACAGGGAAGTTGAGGTGGCCACATTGCCCGGATTTTTCCTCTCGAGGCTCCTGGCAGCTTTGTGTTTTAACAGACCAGGCGACATCAGATGCCATGGTGGTCAGAGCTACAGGGACTGGTGGCTACGATTTTGTCTGAGATAAGCTAGAGTCTACTGCTCAGTGACCTTGCTGCATGGGGTTTGAATTCCTGTCCTGTCAGTGGTTTAAGCAGGTGTTAGAGCCAGAGCAGATTTTTTCGAAAACGAGGTTGTTTAGTATTTTGATTGTGGGTCTTATACCTCAATCCTCCCCTCACAACTCAGGAACAAAGCTGCAGGATTCAGTGTTGGGGCAGTGCCTCATCCCGCGCCCTTGCCTGTTGAGGAGGTGCATCTGCCCTCATTGCCTGCCCCTCTGGATATCTCCCTGAGCCCTGCTTCACCTCTCCTGGGCGATGCTGGAGGTCTGCAGCTAGGTTTCCAGCCACCTCCTGGTGAGTGTGACTGCCTTCTGGGGTTCCTAGGGTTCGGGTTTGGCTGTGGGAGAGCTTGAGGCAGCTCAGCCTCCACCCTGTGCAGATGACACCCTGCTCTCAACTTTGGTTCAGGCAAACCTGGGTGTCTCTCTGATCTCAGAATGCACACAGGTGTCTGCAGAACGCTTGGTGTGGTGGCTTCCACATCTGTGTCACTGGGTCCCAGGTCCTGCACTCTCCAGGGCAGGCGGTCTGGAGAGGCTTAGGGTGATCAATGGGTTAGGGTTAGGGTTAGAGTTAGGGTTAGGATCAGTGGGGACCATGGCCAGCTCTGTGTCCCCTGCCAGGACAGTGTACTCTGCTTGGACTGAGGCAGCGGCCTCCGGGGTCTACGGATGAGTGTGAAAGGACTGGGCCCCGAGCCTCTTGAGAGGTGACAGATGAGTCCCAGCCTGCTTCACTCTAGCAGAGCCCTCTCCCTAGGGAGAAGCAGCATTGCTCTGATTGCAGCAGCATCAATGGGAGAGTAACCACCTCTGGCAGTCGGTGGGGTCGCTTAAGTTTCTTCCTTTCCTCTGGGTAGGGGGTGACAAGGGAAGCCACTCGAAGTCCTAGGAGGCGACTCTTCCATCGTGCTTGGTGGGGCTATTGGAGGGTGGACGGTGCTCATGCTCGGTGGCCGGTGGCTTCCTTCTCACTGCCTCGTGGTCTGCAGGGAGGGAGGTGCCACGTGACTACCACACGCTGTGCCTGCCACTCTCAGGCTGCTGCGTGGAGGCTTCAGAGCAGCATTGGAATCGTGTTCTCTTTCCCCTAATCATAAGACCATTCCAGTAATTTCAATGAACTCTCAGAAGCGCAGCAGCAGGGAGAGAGAGTGCAAGGTGCTGTCGATCCATCTAACAGGAGGCCACAGCGCCTCCTAGAGGACCGGGACAGTGAGGACGCAGCACTGTGCTTTAGGCCATCTGTCTGTCCATCAGAGGAAGGAGCCCAGGTCTCCGGTGTCAGGTAGCGGTGCATCAGAGGAGACGTAAGGCTAGGGTGAGCCTGGTGGCCAAGACAGACGAGGGGCAGGGGCAGAGTGGCCACCATAGGGCAGAGTAGCCACCACGTGTCACAGCCCGGCTGCAGTGGTTCTGTGCCGATGGCATCAGGTGGGCCCATGGGACAGAGCCGCAGGTTGGGAGGACTCACTGCCCATAGTGGAGGAAGGACTCATGCTGCCTCGGAAAGTGGGTGGCCAAGGTGAGATCCTAGGGCGCAGGCTGCTGCCCGCTGACCATGACTGACAGCTGCCTAGGGAGACGGGCTGCTCCCAGGTGCTGGCAGTGGGGGTGAGGAGGGAGGGCATTGGACCGCAAAACCAGGGGACAGGAGTCTGTCTGTCTACGCAGGTTTCCTGAACTCCAAAACGGTACCTGTATGTAATAAATGGCGAACATTCCTATCCCCCAGGACCTCAGGGCACCCTGTGTGTGCCTTCTCCCTGTGTGGCAGAGCTGCCCAGATGGGGGTGGAGGTCCTGCCCATGCCCTCGGGGCTTCTGAGTCACGGGCAGGCACATGTCGATTTCCTAAGAGCTGTAAGGACTGTGACTCAGGGTGATAGATTGAAGCAAGCACACTGCCCCCGGGGAGCCCATACAGTAATGCAAGGCCTTTCCTGAGAGAGACAGTCAGAGGCACGTGGCCACGCTGATTTCTGAGGCTCTGCAGTTGGTCTCTAGTGCCCTCTATTGGCTACTCATCTGTTTAACGCAACATTTTTTTTTTTTAACCGCAGCATTTTGATTCTTGACGTGTTCCTGGGAACATTCCTTACCACAAAGAAAAAGTTACAGATTTTTTAAAAATTGTATTTATTTATTTGTTTGTTTGTTTGTTTTTTAAAACAGAGTATTGCTATGCAGTTCGGGCCAGCCTTGAGCTCACTTTGTGTAGCCCAGGCTGGCCTTGAACTCACAGCGATCCTCCTGCCTCAGCTCCCACCTGAGTGCTGGGTTATAGGCATGGACGTCACAGCTGGCTTGGAAAGGTGTTATCTTCCCTGAGCTGACTTCCATTTCCATTTTCTGTTTCCGTTGTTCCCTGAAGCACCTTCCTGGTTACAGAACTGTTAAAGCAGAGCTGTTTGTTGTAGTTGTACAAAACTCAGTGTGCTGGCAACCCACCATAGGCGTTATGCTGTGGCCACTCCAGGAGAGTCAAGTCCATTCTTTAGGGACCAGGAGCTCTGCACAGCCCCTGGGGGCCTTTCCTGTTGGTTCCTGGTTCTGCTCAAATCCATGTAGTGCTTGGGAGGTGAAGCCTGGTGTGTGACTCACAGGTTCTGGGAGACCTTGGAGAAACCAAGCACTGCCACCAGAGCCCGGAGCTCACAGACCCCAGCTCTGTGTCCTCCAGGTCGTAGCACCTTGATTCTGCCATGCCCGCTCCTGCACTGGAAACACACAGACTGCTCTGCTATGGGAGTCCCCACGATGCAGCTCCACCCCATCCTTTATGCCTCTCTTCCCAACACTGTCCTCACAATGGCCGCAGGGCCAGTGTCCTGACCACTTCCTGCTGTGCTCCTACCTAGCAGGGCTGTTGCATCCTGAGACTCAGTTTCCTCAACTAGGAAACTCAGACCATGGATTCCTCTGTGTCTTGGATTTGTTGTTAGGAGAGATGAGTGGTGGTTATCAGGCTGGGTACATAATATACTGGAATCGTGGAGACACGAGTTGTTTTGTGTTGTGTTTCAGAGGTAGTGGTGCAGTACTTTTGCAGAATATGGACCAAACACAGGGAAAAAGGCACCACGGTTAGGAGGCAGTTTATTACTCCTGTGGGTGCCTGCCTAGGATTTCTCCGAAAGCATCAGAGCCCTGGACCGAGGACATGGCTCAGTGAAACAGTGCCTGTCTGGCAAGTGTGAGGTTGTGAGTTCAATTCCCAGGTTGTGAGTTCAATTCCCAGTACAAGACAGACAGACAGACAGACAGACAGAGAGATACAGAGAGACAGAGAGAGACAGAGAGACCCTCCCAGTGAGACTTTAGAGCTTTTAAGGGAAAATGAGCAAAGAGGTACAAAGGCAAATTTGGCGCATGTGATTGGAGGGTTGGGTGACGTCCTGGATGGCTGAAGGAGTTTAAACATTTCAGGTTACATCACAAGGCTATCATTTATAAAAAGCATGAGTTATATGAAGAAGAAATGTTCTGTTACATTATAAGTTACATTTCAAGGCCATCAGCACTAGTTACACAAAGGCAGTAAAGATGAGAGTTGTACAAAGTGACATTTGAAGTTACATTGTAAAACCACCTGTTAGAGAAGCTTACACAAAGAAAGGAAGGTTCTGTTTCCAGGTTTGTCCGCACATGTCCGCTTGGTCTTGGCGGCTTTCTGGCCGGCTTCCATTTAAAATTTAAAATTTTCCCCTTTCAGTACTAGGGATGGAATCCGGGCCACCTGCACAGCAGGCACAACCAGAGCCACATGCAATTGGAGCTGCTAGTATTAATCCAGTGGAAATGTCGCTGTCACCTCTGTTACCTAATGAAAAGATGCAGCCCTTGAGGTGCACAGGAGACCTCCATGCTGGCTTTGTTGCTAGGTTCCTTCTGCTTATTGGAATGGTTCTGAACTAGAGACACCACCTTGTCCTCATTTGGGGTGTGTTATTTTAAGACACTGTGCATGTGTGTACATGCGTGTGTGTGTGTGTCATGGGGTCAGACGCAGAGTGTGCTCTGCCCCAGTCTCGTTTCCAGGCCTCAGTGAGCTCACTCTCTGCCGTGATGGAGGCAGTGGCTTCCGTGTCTTTGCTGTGCGTCCATTGCTTCCTTTGGGATCCTGCACAGTGCCTGTAGTTTCTTCAAGCACTTCTCTTAGAGCAGTGATGATGAACCTTTTAGCGATGAGTGCCCAAACTACACACAAAACCTGCTTATTTATCACAAGGTGCCAAGGCTACAGTTAGACATGACACCTGACTGCTGGCTAGCTGGGCTGGTGTCAACAGAGGGCTCTGAGTGCCTGTAGCAATACATGTGTCATGGGTTTGCCACTACTGTCTTAGCCAAGGGAGCAATGGTGGCCTCATCTCAGCCTGCAGTGTTGCAGGGCCAGAGCACTGCAGAGGTCCCTCCTGCTGTCCTTGGATCTGCAAGAAATGTCAGGTCCCAAAAGTCTGACCAGAGAGCTTGTTCATGTTGAGCACACAGCTGGTATCCTGTGAAGGACACAGGAGCCGAGACTGGCTTTGGCCTCTTTCAGAGTGTGAGTACCCAGTCCCAGCAGGCCTGCTGCACACAGCCACCCTGGCCTGCACCGGGCTGCGGGGAGCTGACCTGTCCCGCCTTGGTTCACAGGACCCCTTGGACCCCACGAGGTCAGTGATCGTGATCCGCTCCCTGGTAGCGGACGGAGTGGCAGAAAGGAGTGGTGCACTCTTACCTGGGGACCGTCTGGTCTCTGTCAACGAGTACAGTCTAGAGGATGCCAGCCTTGCAGACGCCGTGGAGGTGCTGAAGGCCGTGCCCCCAGGCACCGTGCAGCTGGGCATCTGCAAGCCACTGGTGGTGAGTGCTGCTTGGCTGATGTGGAAGTGACAGTCCTGGGATGCTGAAGGAGGGGGATCTAAGGGAGATGTGTGTGCGACCATGGGCTCACAACATCCAGAAACTAATGTCCACCCTGCAGGGTTTGGGGCTTGAAGGTCACGGTCAGGACAGGTGCTTAGTGCGTTGTCGGCTCCTGGCTGACACCATAGCACCTGTCAGCCTGCATCCGGAGCCCTGACGATCCAGCCCTCCTGAGCTTCACATGCCCCATGGGGTTGCTGCATGTGGCTGGAAGTCACACACTGACACTGTGACAGAAGGGGATTCTCAGGTATACACAATGACCCACACCATGTCCACCAGGCCTCGTCTTCCTGCAGCCTCTGTCACATGCACAGGCTGGGCGCTGATCTCAGCTGAGGCCGAGCTGAGCAGGAACCCAGTAGGCACCTCCAGCCCTGTGCCCTAGGCTCTCGGCCACAGTGCCCTGGGGTTCCTGTTTAGGCCTCGTGCAATGTGTCTGATGCAGGCGCTTGGTGACTGGTTGATTGCTGGCAGGATTCAGGAGACCTGGACTCTGTCTCTGGCCATGTGGCTTCAAACCCATGGCCTGCAGCCTGCCAGGAGCCCTGGGGAATGGCCAGGCACCCAGAGAGGCTGCTGAGTCCTTATGGCCTCAAGGGCCTGGCTCTCCTCCTGTCCTGTGTGGCTCCATGCAGCCGTGCACACTGAGAAGGGCGCTGTGGGAGAGGTTCCATCTTGCAGTACAGCATCCACTGCTGGGAATCTTCCTAGCTTTGAAAATCTCCTGTCCTCTGGGGTGCATTGCCTGCTGCAGAAATGCCGGCTGTGCACCCCAGCTGGTGGGCGGAGGTGGGTGGCTGTGCTCATGTGGGAGGTTTCCATTATGTTTATTTTTGTGGCTTTGTGTCTGCAGTGTGGTGACGGTGCTCTTCATGGGGCGCAGGTGCACAGATAGGACAGGACAAGACAGGTGTCCATGCTCCTACAGCCTTCTTTCCTGCACCTCTGGCTCCCTTCCCCTGCCGTTACATGGGGGCTCTCCTCTAAGACAAACCTCGGGACCCTGAAGCCGGGCGTCCTGCAGCAGGAACCTCCTCCCAGTCACCACACCTTCTGCTTTTGTTCTTGGTGCCAGAGTTTGAACACAGGGTTCAAGTGGCACCCTGGCCCCACATGGTACACGAGATGCCCTCACAGTCCCTGGCCTGGTCTGGCACTCCAGCTGGCTGGCCAGGGTCATCACACCGCTGAAGCAGGACCTCAGCTTCTGGCTGTGTGGTACATCAAGCTGCAACAGTCAAGCAAGCTCCTACCAGGGCTCACTGAGCCTTGTGGAGCCTGGGGCATGGGGCAGACGGAGCTGGAAGGCACTGTAGCTCCTCATGTTTGCAGCAGGGGGCTGTCCAGGCCCAGGGTTCTGTCCTGGCCCTGGGTGGACATTTTGGGGAAGACACTAAGGTTGGCATGGCAGAGAGCCTGCAAGTGTCTGGCAGCTGTAGAACCAAGCTGTTTATTCAAGGTAGATAATACCCACCTGTTTAATACCTGGGTCCCACAGGCCAACTCAAATGAAGGGACTGTTGGAAACGTGGTGACTTCAGAACCAGGGCTGACCTGGTGGCGGGACTGTGGCCAGTCAGCCATGGTTTCTCTTGGTCCAGTGGTTCATGAGGCTGAGTGCCCTTTGGGTGGATCACTGAGCTCCTGGGCTTGCCTTGCCCATCAAGGAAGGGGTCCCAGCACGTGGTCACAGGACCCAGGCCCAGAGCAGACAGCTGGTGCTCACCTTCTGAACAAGAACCAGCTAATTACCTGATGCTGGGCAAGCCACTGTGCCCTGAGCCAGGCGTGGTGGTTCACATTCTCATCCCAGCACCTGGGAAGCTGAGGCAGGACGATTGCTGTGAGTTCAAGGCCAGCACAGGCCACACAGTGAGTTAGTTCAAGGTCAGCTTGCAGTACATAGCGAGACTTATCTCAGAAAAACGGGAAATTCTGCTTTTCAGATTCCCTCTTAGAGAAACCTTTTCTCCTTCTTATTTCCAAAAAATCTCTTCTGACTTCCAAACACCAATAAAAACAAAGCAGAAAATGAGTGTGCCCCTTTCCTCCCCAGTAAACAATGTTAATCAGAGCCCCACTCCTAGAGTGTGTGTCTCCACACTAGGTGCACGGAGTGGGTCTGAGGAGAGATGGTGAATCCGTGCACCAGGCCGTGTGCTGGTGGTGACTTCCTGGGGTGCTCTGAGAAGGCAGGGAGCCCAGACCTACGTGCTACCCCTTCACTGTGAGAGCACCTTGTTCCGTGCGGTAGCTCTCGTGCATTTTGTTGTGTGCTTGCATGAGATGAGAATGGACCCGAAGAGAGCTTGGGTTGCCTAATGGAGCTGCCTGACGGTAAACATGGTTTGCATTTCAGGAAGATGAGAAAGAAGGAAGCTGTCAAGCTTTGCAGTCAGGCAGTAACGAAGACGAGGCCGGACCTGCAGGAGCCACAGGAGACGTGGAGCTGCCTCTCCTGCTCGAAGCCCCCCAGGTAACTGGTGACTTCGTTGCTGTGAGGGTGATTTGCTGTGCATTGAGGTTTCTGTAGAGGAGAGCAAAGCTCGCTGCCCCTCCCTGGCCAAGTGTTCAACAACCGGCTCACTTGGCGTCATTTTTTTTAGACGGAAGCCTTTGCCGTGTCACCTTCCGTCTCCACACGGCACAGGGCTCACTCTGTGTCGCCCATCTGGGCTAAATCCCGAGGAGCTGAACATGTAGCTGAAAGTAGACCACACTTGAAATGGAGCTGCACAACCGACTTTCACCTTCCTTATCTTGTCTTATAGGCAGTATATTTTGGTGCTTTATCTTCTTCCTTTTTTTTTTTGTACCAGGGGTCAAGCTCAAGATCTTGCACTTGCCAGGCAGGTGTTTATGCTGCTGAGCCAAACCCCCGGCCCCTAACTTTTTTATTCTTAAGTGAACCAGGCTTTTCGTCCTTTGCAATTAGGGGTGGTCTTGTGTCAGCTCAGCAGTAACTGGTGGTCTTCGCAGTATCTCACATTGATCTATGTCCTTGGAACATCTGTTACTTTTTTTTTAAGTGTAGAATTTTTGGATAAACTATTTTAACCATGTGATCTATTCAGCCACATCCTCTGACTGCATTTCTTTAAAGAAATAACCACACTGAAGTCTTTGATACACTGTACTAATTGAAAATCCTTGCCACAACAATGTTTAGCTGAGATAAAAGTAAGGTGAAAGTGGGTTTATCCTAGGAATGTAACCTCGTCTGAAGGGGTTTATCCTGGGACTTTGTGCTGGGGAGCACATGGTGGGTAGGTTTAAAGTAGGAGTCGTCATCAGCTCTTGTGGGGAACTGGCCCTCACCCGCTGGCGAGGTGCTTCGTGAGGCAGAGGCTCTCAGGTCCTCAGGTCACCAGGTGTCTGTCTCTGTCCGCACCTGTGTGCCTGTTACCGTTTCAGCAGCAGATTGCCATTTTGCTTGGTGAATACAGAATTTCACCATGGTTGCTTCTTTTACGATGTTATTAGCACAGGTGGAAGCATATTTCTATTATAAATGTAAAAGAATCCTGGTTGACACGTGCTGTCCATGGCTTCAGCTTACCTTAGCACAATTTTGTGCATTTAAATAACCATACTCCCTTCCAAGTCACTTATGGTGACACCCGGACTTGCTAGGAGTGCTTTCTTGGGTATTGGCTTGAAGTGAATCTGCTTATTCGCTGCTTTTTGTATTTGGTGCATGGATTAAATATTTAGCAAATTCCTTTCACGTGGTTAATGGATAATGCACCTGGAACAGGCTGATCACGTTCTCTGGGCAGATCTCGCAAGGGTCCCAGCCTTTCAGGGCTGTGGCTTTTGCGGACTGACTTCAGTGGTGGCCAGCCCTTTAACTGCCCAACCAAGGGCATTGTGAGGGCCAAGGCAGGAACAGGCTAACACAGCTGCAAGTTCCATTTTCAGGGATTTCGAGATGAACCGTACCTCCGAGAAGAGCTTGTAGACGAACCATTTCTAGATTTGGGGAAGACTTTCCGGTCCCAGCAAAACGAGATCAATGACAGCCCGGAGGCCTGGGAGATGCAGGAATTTCTGAGCCCGGCACTGCAGGACCTGGGCGAGGAACAAGAGATGCTGGTGGACGAGGAGTATGCACTATACCAGCACCGCCTCCAGGCCCTGGAGCTGCGCCCCGCCTCGTCCCTCCAGGATGCTACGCCCACGCCGACCTGCCAGGAGCTACACTTGGGTGCACAGTGGTTGTCTGATGAGTGTCCCGGTGGTGCTGAGTCCCCAGATGCTAGGTCCCTGCGGAGCGTGTACTCCACCGACGTGCAGTACATGGTAAGGCATCACCTCACAGCATCCACACCTCCCCTGCTCTCCCTGCCTAACTTCTGCTAGCTTTCAGAAACAAAGTGCACAATGTAAAGGTCCTCTGCTTGTCAGTCCTTGTTCACAAGGTCCCCACAGTGTGCACCTGTCAGCAGGAGTCTTCGTTATGCAGCATTGCATAGGGTCAGTAAGCTGCATCTGCCTTGGGCAGGGTTCCTCCCTCTCAATCCTATCTCTGGAGCTCGGCTCCTAAAAGATGATTTCTAACATATTTCTGAGCTCTCAAATGCTGATTCTGTAGTTGCACATTTGCAGAATGATGCTTTTCAAGACTGCGTTCTGGGTTAAAGTTGTGACTGAGAAAGGCAGGCCCCTGATTAGACTTGACTTGGACTGTATCAGTTGAAAGTATCCGTTAAGATCAGCATGCCTGGGGCTGGGGATTTAGCTCAGCAGCATAAGCACCTGCCTTGCAAGCAGGCAGTCATGAGTTCGATCCCTGGTACCGATAAAAACGAAAAATACAAAAAAAAAAAAAAGATCGGCATGCCGAGAAAATGTCCCCCATGGCACTGCAGGGCAGTGCCTGCCTCCCACGGCATGCACCCTGAGCACGTTCCATCCTGAGACGGGTGGGAGACGGCTTCGACTGCTCAGTTGGACCCAGGGCCTTGGGCACGAGGAGCTCACCAGGACAGAGTGATGTGCAGGTCTCCCTAGACACAGACCCCCTCTCCATACTCTCCTCGGGTTAGAGCTTCTCTCTAACCCAGAGCCATGGCTGACAGTTGGCCAGAGGAAGAGCACACAGCTGGACGCAACCTGATGTTCTAGAAACTGCTGAGTCAGTAACTGAGTACGTGAAGACCCTTAATGTTTAGCATGAACATTTTTTACATGCAGTCTTTTCCCCATAGGGAAAAGACTGTAACAGGAAGTTAAAGAGCAGAACTGTATGTGGAAAAAAAGTTCTCAAACATCTGTAGTTTGAAATCCTCTGAGTATTGAAATTAGCAACAAAGGGAGATACCTATTAGGGTAATCCTTATGAAACTATCTTTTTTTTTAGTTAAAATGATCAAATCTTGCAGTTTCACATTGTTCAACATAATAAGATCCTGAGAAAATTGAATGTGGCATTATGCCATAAATCAAAGAGAATTTAGAGAAAATCACATCTCAAGTGAGGAGAAAACACTTCAGGATAGACTGTGCACACTGACAAGCCAAGATTTCTGTCTTGTACATTAGATTGGAAATCTAAAATGTTAAATAAGTTAGCACAACTAAAATTATAAAATGATAACTAGTCACTAATGCCACTGAAACAGGAAAACTACTGTAATGATCAAGTGGCGATTGAAAGACTTTAGGAATCACATATACAAACTCCAGCATTAAAATGAAAGGCCACAGGTATGAGTTAAAAGTGTGATAATCATTTGTAAAATCCTTGACAACAGACAATCCATTGTATTGATACTGTTATGTAGGCACCTATATGAATTTCAGCTTTGGTCTCCTAGATGGAATTATGTTGCAAATGAATTAACATAATAATAATTATAGCAGCATTCTAAGTTTCTTAGACCAAGACTATCTGAAGTTTCTGGGGTGTGGATATAACTCACCAACATAAGAGCGTGCCTGGCAAGTACATAGACCCGAATTCAATTCCCAGTGCTAAAAACAATTTTTTTAAAAATAAATAAATCAAACTTACCAACCTATATCCCATCTGTCCCCAAAATGTGTTTTAAATTTAGATATATTAGCTATAAAATTTTTTGCATTTTTCTTCAAATAATGAGCTTTATCTTCTCACCAACAAAAGAGCAAAAAACAAAAGCTAACAAAACTTGTTACACAAAACAGAAAAACTATTTTTAATTGAAAACATGGTAGCTTCAAAACTGGTAGCTCACTTATGAGTTTATTAACTCTAATCTAGGTCTCTTGGGCGTGTGTGTGTGTGTGTGCCGTGCGTGTGCATTCATGCTTGCAGAGGCCACAGTCTTCACTGGGAACAGAGCCACCTCCCAGGGCCACTCCTGTGCTGCTGACAGGTGCACCCACTGCCCATTGCGAAGCCCGTGGCCTCTTTTTATGTTGTTTTCTGCAGTTTTTTGAGGCAGTCACTGTGTAGCCCAGGCTGGCCTGTACTCGTCTCTGTCCTGCCTCTGCCTCCTGAGTGCTGAGGTTAAGGACCTCCTGGGTCCCAAGCCGTTGACAGTTCGTGGGAGAGTTGCAGGCCTTTGTCCAGTGGCTCCAGCCTGGCAAGCACCAGGGTGAACCTTGCAGCTGACCCTGGTGCCTGCTAGCCTGGCAGCCCCAGCCAGGCAGGCATGGAGCGCGGAGGGGTCTCCCGGAGTCATCACTGTCCAGCCCCGGCCTCTTGAGCAACACTGTCCTGTGGATGAGGCACCGCCCCTTCCCCCAGAGCATTCCACCAGGACACTCTCCTCCAGCAGGAAGGTTGAAGCAAGCCCTCTTGCTACTGCTGGGCCTCAAATGTCTTTCATGTAAATACTCTGTCCCAGCATATTTTAGGCTTTCGGGAAGACAAGAAGGAGCCCCAGGCAAGTGCTCCCCTGCAGTTTGGCCTGGTAACCAGCCCCAGGCCTGAGCGAAGCTGCAGACAGAGAAGTGGGAAAATTCAGGGATGCAGCTTGGGCCAAGGCACTCAGGGCTGCAGTGGCCGAGCCATGAGACCCAGGAGGCCGTGTGTAGGGACTTGCATTTCACTGCCTCGGTGAGCAATTACTTATGTTCATTCAGTAGTGTTTAGGGGCCGGGGATGCAGCTCAGTGGCACAGCACCTGCCTGTCAAGCCCAGTACCAAAAAGAAAAAAAATCAACCACAAAAAAAACAATTCTCTAGTAGTGTTTAGAAAGTAACTTTTATTGCAGACATAGTGCTTGGAGAGAGCAAGCCTGTGGCCTGGCCTTATGCAGATGCCAGACGCTGGCGCTGGTGACCTCTTGCTGGGGGTGAGTGTGGGCAGCCGGCACTGTCCCTTCTTATCTGGCTGCGTGCACACGAAGTTCTCGGCATTCCAGCGACTGCTAACGCTGTCTCTTTCTTTCCTCTCGAGATGGAAGAGCGGTTTGGCATTGACCCCCTCTCCGTGCCCTCTGACGCCAGTGGCCCACATGGCACATTCGATGACCCAGAGCATCTTGGTTCATCCGGAGAAAGCAGCTTGGATTTAGGTGCGTGGCTTCGCTTGTTATGGGCACAGACTGGCCATTTGCGGTCTCTCTGTTCTGTGAACTTTTCTGAGGCTTTGCATGTGTTTCTGCTGCACAGTATCTGAAAAGGCAACCCTGGCTCAGGTTTCAGCTTAGATTTGCAGGTTCCGCTCTGCAGGGCTTTTCCGTTTCCTCTGCCTCCCGTCATGTTTTGAGTGGAGCCAATTAAAACTGAAACCGCTACCTGACGTTGAACCTCGTCTGCACTAATTCGCCGCAGCGTCTCCACTGCTCCTAAGTGGTGCTGTTAGCTCAGCCCAGGGGCTGTTAAATATTCATAAAGACATATTTTAAACATTTATGAGACATTTCACAACCGTGTATTATAGCCGTCTTTAGTACATTAATAACTTAGTCTCCATCAAAGAATTCTGAAAGTGTGGGCCTCTCCTGCTCCCCTCATATGGGAGGAGCTCTCATGAACTGCTGGAAACTTGACTTTAAAGAGAGTTTTTCTTCACTTAGCATGCAAACGCCCAGGTGGGGAGGGGGCTGCTTTCTGCTGTGTGGTTCCCAGACCAGCGGTCAGAGCTCTGCTGGCCTTTGCCCAGCACACCTGGCTCCCAGGGGAGCATGGGGGGCCTTGCCCTGGGGTGCAGGACGCCATCCAGTACAGCTGCAGAGAGTGACCAGGTGGTTCTGGAGGCCAGTGGGTGACACTATATTGGAGATCACGGCCCTCGTTAGCTCCCTGCAGCTGGCTTTTTCTGTTAGGTGGGGTTGGATGAATCCATCCAGCTTTCCAAGTTCAAGACTGGGAGAAGTGGGACTCAGCCCTCGAGCTCTCTGGGCACAGTGCTGTTTAAATTCACTGCATTTTAGCTCTCTCTGGCCAATAAGCCCCTGAAGTTGATCATGACACACATAAACGAGGGGACCCATCTGCTGCTTTACGGGGGACTATCCTTGTGTGGGCGGGGGCTTTACGCATCCCCAGGTGCCACCCTAAAGCCAGCGAAGCCCCTCCCAACCCGATTCTAGTGGCACAGATGTGGCGCTGTCTGGGGGAGTAGCTGCCTGGTCACCCAGCTGGTGCGCCAGGATGGACTGGAGCGAGTTACTAGGGCCTCAAGAATCAGCAATTGACACTGTCTGTGAGGGGCCACCTGTCCCTCTCTGAACCCTGCCTGTGCCTGTGGATTTGGGGTCCATGTGGGAAATTCAGCATGATCTGTTTTCAGATCTCTAACTCAACTGCACCCCAAAGACCCTTCCTGCAGTGGAGTCACATTTATGGGTTCTGGGACATGGTGTTTCTTTTCAGGGGTCACCATTTAACCTTGGATTGCCTTGGTCACTTTGCAAGACTCTGGATATTTATTCTTGGAGTGGTGACTTTGGGAACAGTGCCTGGTGTGCACATCTGGAAATATGGGTGGCATTTTGAGGCCCCAGAGCCAGCACTTGGGGCAGGCGGGAAGGTCAAATCTGTGCTGACCACCATGAGGAGCTGTTGCTGCAGGGCTGGGCAGAGTTCTGCAGCCATGCATGGAGTTCACTGTGCTCTGATTGGGGTTTTCCTCCGGGCACCCTGTCTGCCTCGCCTGTCCCAGCCCCCTCGCCTGGCTCCCGCAGCCCAGCCTGCCCCCTGGGAAGGGATTTCCCTGCTTGTTATGAGGGCACCCTTGTTGATCTGAGCCAGGGTCCGCCCCTTCCTAGAAGGTTGTCTTAGATTTGTCCATTGCACAGTTAATGTAAAATCACCGTTGGGAGCCTGTGTGCAGAGGGCTCATCCCAGGCCCTGTGTCACTCCAGCGGAGTAGCATGCTCCGCTGCCGAGATGAGATGACCACGACACCCCTCAACCAGCACAGCTGTGTGCCCTCAAGGAACTTGAAACCAACCCACCTGAGAGAGAAATCCGGGCGGGGCACCAGCACAGCATGACTGCAGGACAGGGACCTGGGCAGTCTCCGGGACTGAGTCCAGGATGAGCTGCTGTCATCTCTATCCAGTGTCTGTCCTGGAGGCAGGGACCAGGCCAGCCTGCAGGCAAGCGAGTGGCCTGGCGCTCAGCGTGTTGTCAGCTGCTGGTTTTCCCCTTTGCTGAGTTACTCAGCCCCCGTCCCGCTGCGTGGATTCTCCTCTCCTGTTCCTGGTGCCCGTGGCAGAGCTCTGGAGCCCGCTCTTGGCCAGCACGGGCTTGTGCTATCCGCCTCTTGGTGCCTGTTCTGGTCAGCACCGCAGAAGCCCAGGGACACAGTGCTCGTCCAGCTTCTGACAGTGTATGCAGAGCCAGCGGGGCAGCCATGAGGACATGCCCTGAGAACAGAACCAGCCCTGCTCAGCTCCTCTGCTTTCCTGCAGCCCCCGCACTGGGCAGTGCCGGGCCTGTCCCGAGCCTGGGGCCCAGGAAGACAGCTTGTGGAACAAGTGTGTGAGAAGCCAGGGGAGGACATGAGGGGCTTCTGGGCGATGTGTCTTCTACTGCATGTTTTGTGGGTTTTTTTTTTTTTTATTTAAATAGTCCCTGTAGTTTTCTGCCACGTCTTGAGTGTGGGGCAACAGAGCGGGACCCATAGTCCTGAGAGTCCAGGAGAAAAGCCCCAGCCTCAGATAAGCATAGTCAGAGAGAACAGCCAGAAATGTGCTGGGGGGTGGGGGTGCTCCAACCTACCCATGCGTGAGGTGGGGTAGTTTTCTGTCAGATGCTTAGTTCTCGGTCACCTTTTTCTTCTTTTTCTTTTTTGCTTTTTTTGAGTCATGGTCTCACTGTGTAGCTTTGAACGCCCTGTGTAGCCCAGGCTGGCCTCACACTCATATGGTGATCCTCCTGCATCAGCCTCCCAAATGCTGGGATTGCAAGCATGTGCCCCCACACCTGGCTTGTTACATTTAAAGCACTAACTGAGTGGGCTGGGGATTTAGCTCAGTGGCATAAGCGCCTACCTTGCAAGCAGGCAGTTGTGAGTTCGATCCCTGGTACCGATAAAAACGAAAAAGACAAAAAAAAAAAAAAGCACTAACTGAGATTCACTGTCAGATTCGTACAGGACTTTTGTTTCCTTTTCTAGTCTATCTTTCATCCCCCAAAACTCCGTGAGTCTGGGCCCGTTCTGTGCTGCACACAGAAGTCCTTGTAAAGTCATGTCCATCTCAGAGCAGCCTTCTCTGTATGCACAACTCCCAGCCGATGTCCCCGATGCCCGTTCCTTCCCAGATGCCTCAGCCCCAGCACAGAAGCTTGGCAACCCTGGACACCTGCACAGTGCCTAGAAAGCTCCTGGCCCAGCAGCAGGGACTCTGTGCATGTTTGTTGAGTGAACTTTGAAAGGTGTGAATGAACAATGCCTGTGTTGACACTGGAGAAACTGAAAAGTTTTGGGGGCTTTGGCTGCAGCCGTGGAGTTAACGCTTTGTCTCTCCTCACACTGTTCGCTGGGAAACAAACCAAAGAACAGAAGCTGAGTGAGATCTCTTCTCTTGGGCGTGTCTTCTAGCTTAAATTCTGCCAGAAAGTTTGAAAGCTCTGCAAGAAGCACACAAATCAAACACCACATTTCTTGGTGAGAGTGTGCATTTTACTTCCTATCGCTGCAGTAAAAACTGTACTGTTTATCACATGAACACATGTTTATCACAGTGGTGTGGTGTTTATCTCTTTGAGCTTTCAGCTAACACTTTACTCACATAATTTGTGATACATTTGTTTCTTTCAAGAACACAATTTTTAAAGAAGTAATTTGCAAGAAAAGCATTTTGTTTGGACCCCCAGCTCTTGGCTGCTGGGAGCTGCCCCACACGCCCAGAATGGCCCCTGGCTGACCCTGGCCTGCCTGGGCTCCTCCTGCACCCGGCTGTACAGGGCCAACTCAGCTGTGCGGATAGGTTTCTCTTATCCCTGTTTTCTAGAAGAAAATGAAGAACAACACGGAACTCCTTGGGTTTCTTCCCCAGAGTCTTGCTGTTTTAGGTACTTTCTTTTGGCTGAGACCAATACCTGGCACCCACAACATAAGGAGGACAGGGTTATGTAGCTCACAGTTCGTAGAGGGTTCAGGCTCCAAGGCAGGGTGGCATGCACAGGGCGAGTGCTGCTCGGAGCACCGCAGAGAGGAAGCAGGGCAGGACCAAGGGAGGGAGGGATGCACGTACACACACCCTTCCAGGCCGCACCCCGCGACCCTCCTCTTCCATCCAGGCTTCACCAGCCTCACAGTTAGCTCTAAACTCCTCAGTGGACTGATCCAGTGTTACGTATCACCCGTGACCCAATCATTTACCCAATGCTGTGGCTGATGAGCCCACAGGCTTTGGAGGCATCCAGACATAAACCATAACCTTGCACAGTATTGTGTAGATAGATTTCCAAGCTTTTCCTATGCCTTGTTTGAATGAACAGAGCTGTTTTGGGCTCTCAGTTGATAAAATAAACGGCATTCCCAGGCCCTGCAAGTGTGTGTTTAGAAACCCACAGTCACGCTTCAAAGGTATGGAAAATGCACAGGTTCTGTGGCACAGATGGGGTGATGCAAATGCCCCAAATCCATTCTAAGAATTATGTTAACTCTGAGCTGCTTTCTGTAAATGTTAGGGCCGACGCCGCAGGGAAAGAGACCCCAAGGACTCAACTCTTGGTGAGGGAAAAAAGTTTATTTCCATGCGCATGGGGTCCCCCAGGCAAACAAGTGCGGAGGGCCCCGAGGGGGAATTGTGCAGGGTTTTTAAGGGCGCAAACGGGAGGCAAGCGAGTTTACAGAAGCAGATTGTATTGGTTAATTTTGAGCAGCATAGGATTTGACAGAAATTGATTGGAGGGGTTTGGGGTTGAGTAACCATGGAGACTGGGGGTCCTAGCCCAGTCACTATGTGCCCAGAACAGAACAGTTACTTGTCTTACTTATCTCGTTGAGACAGAACAACCTTGCAGGTGCATTCTTTCTTTTTTTTTTCTCTGCTCTGATAGCTCTGGGGAGTTAGGCATTTCTTTCTGCTCTGCTCTGATAGCTCTGGGGAGTTAGGGAGTTAACCCTTTTATTCCCCGCTCTGGGGAGTTAGGGAGTTAACCCTTTCATTCCCCGCTCTGGGGAGTTAGGGAGTGAAACATTCTTTGCTGCTTTTTATAACTCGGGGAGGGGGTTATAACAGGGGGGTCAACTCTCACAGTAAATTTCATTAGTAGGCATCTGCAGTACATGAAGTTTACATTCATCATAGGAACTGGGTATGTGCAGTTTTTCTGATTTTATTTCTATTTGAGGAAACAGTATGTCCTTATTTTTTACTTAAAAACTCATTTTGATTTAATGTTAAAGAGGTACCTACCGTATGTGTCCTTTGTGCAAGTGTGTGGTGCGTGCCAAGACGCGTGTGCACATGTCCACACTCAGCGTGATTGCTGCACGCAGTGTGTCGGCAGTGACCTGTGGTAGTGGCACCGTGGGCTCCCGGCGTTTACCTGGGCGGAGGTGAAGGACAAGTTTTGGCTTCTCTTCCTTCCTTTCAATGGGAAGACTGCGTGCTCTTGGGCCTGGCCTAGGGAGAGGAGAGACAGTGAGGTCCCCAGCGGCTCTTCTCTGCATCAGGCAGTTTGGGCTTAGCACTGCCGCTGCCCACAGAGAAATGAAAACTCATGAGACTCTGGTGTGGGAATTTTGTGAGCATTTAAACTGCAGAATTTCGAATACATTGTGAATTCGGAAATTTATGAACAGGGCCTTTAAACACCTGCCTGGTGGGCTGCGAGTGTGGCTCAGCCATGGAGCTCTGACCTTGCAGGTGTAAGAACTTGGCGGTGACCCCACACACCTGTGTTGGTCTCACTTGTGTGTCCGCTGTCCCACAGGGTGACTGTCTTCTAGCCGGTGGTACGGCACACGGCCTGTGGTGTGGCAGGCGAGGCTGAGGACGGAGGACAGCCCAGTGCTGTCACAGAGGGGGTTCTTTGGCTCATCAGATATCACTAATGTGTGTTCTTCAGCCTGGCCTTCCTCTCTAAGTAGCCATCGCCCTGCCTGAGACAGTGGCGCCCTCACACTCACCCCACCCTCTGCACTGCACTGTCGCTTGCTTACTTTGACACTGTCCACTCTGGAGGGCTCCCACCTTCCTGCAGACACACCCTTTGCTGTTTGCTGAGTGACTACAGGATCCTGTGTGTCTTATAGTCTGTGTTTGTCTTCAGGCATGACGATCCCAGGTGCCGACCCAGGCCAGAGCAGGCTCCTGGACCTTCCCACTGGGGCTCAGAGGAGGGAGCACGACCTGCCTCTCTACCAACTGGCCAGGCCCCGAGAAGCCACACAGCCTTCCGAAGCGTGGCCCTCCAGACACGCAGCCGACGCACGGTAGGCCGCTGCTGCTCACGCTGTGGAGCAGGGCATACACCTTGCGTCTCTGCAAATGCACGATTTTGGTGGAGCATTTGGGAAATACAGAAAACACTGCCATAAGCCCTCCTGCTATGTTAAGTGGTTACTACGAGAATTCCACAGTGTTGAAAATGAGGCGGCACATGCAGTGTCCTGGGCCCAGACAGTTGCCCAGAGTGGCTGCTGGGAGATGGGAGGTTAGCTCCGGATCACGAGGGCCGATCACGGGGATGTGGGGAGGGCAGGGAGGGACGTGAGACCCAGAGTGGTGACGGACCGAGCTGTCCAGCTCATCAAGGGTCACATTGAGGGTCTAAGTGGCCCCAGGACCACAGAGCCTGGCAGAGCCCAGCCAGGCCGAGTGCTCTGCGCTTGCTGAATGCGCACATCTGTGCTGCACAGCCTCTGAGTGTGTGTCTTCTGTGCACACCTGCGACTGTGTGAAGGAACACACATGGAACCCAGAGAACTATTTGCTCTTGGTGGCTCCAGGAAAGGGCGGCAGGTGCTCAGAGTGGCCGATGGAGCCTGGCAGGGGGCAGTTCAGCTCCAGGGGTGGTCACTGCGCTGCCTTGTCCACCTAACAGGATGTTCTCCTAGCTGGTCAGTCAGTACTAAGTTCCCATTCTAAAAGAGAAACTGAGGTGAAATTGTGCAAATCAGGCACTAATTTAGAAAAATGACTTCTGAATTAAAGTACCAATATGTGTTTATCATCATTGCATGACTTACAGATCGTAAGTCTTTTTGTCTGACTTGCTGAGTGGGATTTGCTGTGTTGAATGTTAACCTAGTCTGAGTTTGTTTTGCATATTTATTGACACCAATATTTTAGCAGTTTAAAGCTGTTTAGTACCTGTAGGTTGTGCAGTTTCAAAAGTTTCCCAGCATCTGAGAATGAGAACAGCCAGGCACGGTGGTACAGACCTGTAATCCCAGCACTTGGGAAACTGAGGCAGGAGGAGCTCTGTGAGTTCAAGGCCAGCCTGGGCTACAAAGTGAGTTCAAGGCCAGCCTGAACTACATAGTGAGACCTTGATGCAAAAAAAAGACACAATGACCGAGAGCAAGTCTCCTCAGCTGTGCTCCCTCCTGTCTTCCTGCAGCGAGCTGCCTGAGAGAGAAGAAGGCGAAGGAGAAGAGACACCAAGCTTCAGCCACTGGGGGCCCCCGAGAATGTAGGTGGTCACTCGCCGGCTCTGAGAGGCCGCAGACCTGGTCTCCTCTTTGTCTGATGGGCGTTGCTCTTTCATGCTTGGCTTTTCACCACTGTGTTAGGCTTTATTTTGGGGGCACACGTTTGCAGTGTGTAACGATTGGCTCCCTGGCGGGCAGTGGGCACACGCCACACCTCCATCCTTCCTGTCGCCTGTCTCCGGGCGCCTTTCCGGTTTGCATGAGTCTCCGCTATACTGTTTACTTGGTGCTCCACCTGTGCCTTGGGCTTTTCTTCTGAGAGGACCACATGATACCGGCTGGTGCGAGCTGCACCTCACGCAGTGTGATGCTCTTACCTGCTCTGATGAGTGCAGTGATTCCCCATGCGCCTCCGTTTTAGTCCCGTTCTGTCTCATTCAGTGACTTGGAACCAACACGAAGGACCCCACTGACTGACGTCAGCACAGGGTAAACCAGCTGGAGCCCAGGGTGCAGGGAGCGGCGGGGCCTCTGCTGCCCCTCCAGACACCCCACGCTGAACCTGGCTCTCTTGGGGAGCTTGGAGTCCTTGTCAGGGCTGGGTGCTGGGGACAGCAGGTTCTCACTCCACGCGTTATTCTTCCCCCAGCCTGCTCAGCCCACCACTTCTCTTCTCGCAGTTGAATTCTGAGTTTTGCCTTCAGAGCTCTGAGTTGCTATGTTCTGGCTCCTGGCTTCTTTTGTGTTCATCGCTGGTCTGGTCGCTTTGGTTTCAGCAAGTCCCATAATTGTTTTTAAAATGATGGGGAAAAGGCCGCCTTCCAGCCTCAGAGTCAGAGGTGCCAGAGGTACGAGAGCCCAGAGTCAGAGTCCAACTGGACAGGCTTGTACCTGGTGCTCCAAGTGGCCACTTTGTTTTATTCCAAAAGCCAGAACTCTTTACTAAAAATAATCTGTGTGGCTTTCTTGATTTTTTTCCATCTATTTATTTCCTCGCCCTTTCCTGTTTTGATGTTGTGCATATAAATGAGATGGACCCAGCACAGAAAGCAGACTGTAGCTCAGACAGGAACTTAGGCCCACTGGCCCTCTTGGAGTCCCGAGTTATATTTGTCATCTGTTCCAGAATGTAAACTCTCACATGGCATCAGTTGTTGATAACACCTCTGATTTCAGCACCAGGTATAAGTTACAGGACTTTTATTAAAAATGTGTTTAGAAAATGTACTTTTATGAAACAAGTTACAAAGATATGGCACAAATGGAATATTCCTCGGGACAGCACAGCAAACTAAATCAAGCTGCTCTCAAGTGAGTTTCGCTTCTGTCTTTTACAGTGTGGAGATTTTCAGAGAGCCCAGCGTGTCTCTGGGCATCAGCATTGTTGGTGGACAGATGGTCATCAAGCGCTTGAAGAACGGGGAGGAGCTGAAGGGCATATTCATCAAGCAGGTCCTGGAAGACAGCCCAGCAGGCAGGACCAATGCGCTGAAAACTGGAGATAAAATCCTTGAGGTAGTGATACTAAAACACTGTTTGTGTCAGAAACTTGTCTTTTTTGAGACAGGGTCTTGCTATGCAGTCCAGCCTGGTCTTGAACTCACTGTGTAGCCCAGCTGGCCTCTGACTCATGGGGATTCTCCTGCTTCAGCCTCGGGGGTACCAGGGCTTCAGGTGGGTACCACCACCACAGCCAGCATATCTGAAACATTTTTAAGACAATCTAATGATCACCTGGTCAGAAGCGCTTTCTTTATGTGTGTGTGTGTGTGTGCGCGCGTGCAACTGGTGAATCCTTTCTGTTGTCTCAGTTTGTAAGCTGCATGCACAGCTTGTGAGTCTCTCCAGGGAGGCAGGGAGGAGGTAAAATGAAAAACGCACCTCGGGCTCGGGGCTGCAAAGGGCTCTGTGGGGCTCCCCCGCCCGCGTCCTCCGAGCTCCCACCAGGAGAAGCCATGTTGTGGGGCACCCCTCACACAGGGAAGCCTCTGTCCTCCCTGGTGACAGCACGCTAGGGCCCTGAGCCAGGCCCCTCACTTCCCTCATGTTTGGACCCTGTCATCACTGGCACTTCGGCTCACGACAAGGAGGGAGGGGCACCCCAACCCCTCCTCTGGATTTGTTCCGGGACAAACAGTCGGCCACCTTCTCCTTAAGTTCTACGTAAAGTGGACATGAGACTACCAGGCCGGAAGCGTCACCTCGAGGACCAAACCTGAGAACCATGGGAATCTGCTCTGAGGTGCAAACCTGGGTCACAGAGGTCAGGACTGCTGCCCTGAGATTCTGGGCTCCAGACAGACATGTGGCTTTGGAGTTGTAGGTCTGGGAACACAGGTACCTGTGAGACGAAGGACCTTGAGTGAGGACCCTGATCTGGACCAGAGTTCCTTAGGGCTTCACCTGTGCCTTACTTGGCCCTGGCCTGGGAGGCTCCCTCTCCTGCCACTGCTCAGGGAGCTCCGGGTTCTGGCCTTTCAGTGGATGGATGCTTTAGGTGCACCAGCAGTATGAGCAGTGATGACAGTGACCAAACGTCCCTCCCCTGGTGCCACATGATGTTGTAAAAGGAAACACTGCGTGAAGTGCCAGCTGCGGGGAGGGGCTGGGCAGAGACCACAGCTCAGGGACAGAGCGGGGGTTAGTGTGACTGTGATTGTTGCTTTAACAACCTGAGAAGCAGCTCATGTCACAGTGAGCCTCTCTGCAGTGACCCAGGAAGAAAAAGGCTCTGCCCAGAGAGCAGAGCACAAGCCTTGCCATCTGCCTCCGGGCACGGTCCCTAGTTCCTTAGAAACTGGCTTTAAACAGCCTGCGTGTGGCAGCAAAGCCTCTGCTGAAGTGACAGGCAGTGTCCGGACACAGCCCTTCAGCAGTCACAGGATGAGGACAGCGCCAGAGGCACAGGGTGCTGTCTGTGGAGAACCATGTAGGGACACGTGTGACAAGAGGACATGGCCCTAGGGATGCGTGGAGGAGGGAGGGCCAGGCCTTGAGGGCTCAGTGCTCCCACCGCCCCCGTGGGAAAAGCAACAGGAAGCAGAGTATGGGCAGGGCTGTGACAGAGCTGTACCCCAAGAGCTACAAAGTCTGGGAGGTCACCTGCCTGGCCTGTGGGAACGCCTGAGGACCCCAAGCTGGGTGCTGGGTTGAGGTTCTAGTTTGATGGCCAGGAAGGCAGGGACCTCGCTAGAGGTGGAGGCCATGATGCAGGGCACCTGGAACAGCGATGGAGAGGAAGGGAGCAGGCTGGCACTGGAGGCAGAGCATGGGAAGCGAGGAGGAGGAGGCTGAGGAGGACCAAAGGCCAGGAGTCAGGCCCTGCTGCGGGTCCCAGAGGGTGCAAGTAAGGTCCTACTCTGGGCAGAGAAGCCGTGCGTGATTTTGTCACCCCAAGACCTTTGCCTTGGAGTGAGGAATCTGACCCCCACGTTTCAGAGGACAAAGCCCTCAAGGTGGCAGCACCTATCTGTGGTCTATGGACCGTGCCCCCCAGGAAGCACCCAGGCGCCTCTCGTCACGGGCTGTGAGGACCCAGCTGCTGCAGCACTTCCAGGGCCCTGAACACCGAGGGAAGCTGCTGCTCGTTGCACCAGGATGAACCAGGATCCTGGTGACCCCACATGGTTGTGAGGGGACCTCAGATGGTGACCAGCGCAGCCATGCTTTGTCCTGGGCCTGGCAGCCTCGGGCAAGCAGAAGGGGCCCTCCCAGCATCCTCAGCACCTCCCCACCTTCACTGCATGGCTGCTGTGTCACTGCTGTGTCACCTGCATCCGCCTCGTGTTTCCCCAGCGGCCACCCAGGACAGACGGCCCTGACTCTCATCCTCGTCTGCGAACCCAGCGACTCCAGGCGTCCTGTGTGTGCTGTCAGCGGGTCCCATGTGCCGCCCTTCGCTGTTCCTGTTGGTTTAATGAACAGCGTCCCCACAGGTGCCCAGTGGCAGCACTGTGCACAGGGACGGGGGCCTGGTGTCCCCAGACTGAAATGTTGAGCCTTTTAAACCGCAGTCCACGTGAAGCTGGCATGTCATTTGTTTGCTTTTTTCCCTGTGAAGATCAGACTGAAGTTTTTTTTCTTTAAGCAAAACTTGGTAATTGGCCCTGTCTATATTTTATGAACTGTGTCTTCAAGCAATGACATCCATGTTTTAGATCCACAAGAAGAATTTTTTTTTTTTTTGTCTTTTTCATTTTTAACGGTACCAGGGATCGAACTCACAACTGCCTGCTTGCAAAGCAGGCACTTATGTGGCTGAGATAAATCCCCAGCCCCAAGAATTTTTTAATCTAGGAAGTTAGACTTTAATTCTCACCAGTGGGTCTTTGTGTGAAGAGCAGAGCTTTTCAGTGATAATTCCAAATTGAGGAAAACCTAAGATTATTGTACTGTGACAGATCCACTCTTCTGGCTGGCTAGAGTGGTCCCCATTTATCCCTGTGAGATCTGCCAGGAAAGCCTTCAGTCCCTGCTGTCTGTTCCCTGAAGCAAGGCGCTGGCTCCACGTGGGGTGGCCTTAGTTCAGCAGGCCTGGTAGTGAGGTGTTTAGTGGCCTTTGACTTAGGCTTGCGTGGCACCCGTCGAGTGGCCTTAGAAATGGATGGACTTGCTAACAGCCTAGGTTCTCCATGTTTCTAGAGTAAGGAGCCTTTCTTGGGTGGTCAGATGCACAGAGCATAGAACACTTTGAAGCAGGGAGCCTGTTTCATTGGTACCTGTTTTTTAATCCAATATGAGAGGTGGTGAGCCTCTAAGTTATGATAATGTGTATAAAATATTCCCCTCAATTTAAAAGACAGTGGAAGACCCAGGGATCCCCCTGCCCCACCGCTCAGAATCCTGTGCCATGCTGATGGCAGGGGTGCAGGAAAACGCTCCCCACTGAGGAATTTGGAAGGCGACTTGTTTATGACTCCGCTGGGTCAGGGGACTGAGTCTGAGTCCAAATCACCAGCCCCGAGTCAGCTAGGAGTTCGGCTTAAATCCATTTTGCAAGCAGGAAGGATAAGGCTGCCGGAGGCTGTCCCACAATTGGTTCTGTGGATTAAGTCACACGTTGTCAAGCAGACTAGTTAAAGCAGTTTACTTAAAAAGCAGTTGTTAACCGTAAGACAGGAATACCCTGGGAGGGAGAGGAGGGTGTGAGCGGACTCCCAAGCAGGGAGTTGAGTTAAACGCATCCCAGACATGGAGTCTTTGGAGCGAGTTGGAAAACCACATGTACTTTTCTGGGTAGGAAAACACGAACATTACAGCTGGACACAGCCAGGCTGACCTGGCGTGTCTTTGGGAGAAGCAGCTGGACACAGACAGTCAAGGCTAACTGGACTTCTAGGCTGTGTGACAGCCCCGTGAGCATAGGCACAGGCCACTGATGGGTTTTTACCTCGGTTATAAATGTCTATAAGGTTGCTATTCTGTAACTTTGCCCTTTCCACAGAGGTGACAACGTGGGGCTCTGTCACACAGCAGGTTGTTTCATATTTATCACAGAGAAGGGTGGAGCACCATGTGGGATGTAAACGGAACCCAGCTGTGCTCATGCTGTTTGTCGGCTGTGGTTTCTTGAGGGTGCACCATTGTTTTGGGCTCTCCCGGGGCAGCAGTGTGGTGGGCTCCCTTGCCAGCCCCTGCACTGTTCACAGAGCAGACGATCCTCATGACCTCTGAGTTGGCCGCCAGGCCCTCCAGGGCCTCCCATTAAAACTTCCTCCCATGTTCCAGGTGTCCGGCGTGGATCTGCAGAACGCTAGCCACCAAGAGGCTGTGGAGGCCATCAAGAATGCAGGGAACCCTGTGGTGTTTGTGGTGCAGAGCCTCTCGTCCATACCAAGAGTAAGTTGTGTGTTTTGTTTTCAAAAGGTTTAATAATATCCTCTGTTACGGTGGTCAAATTTTTGCCTACAAAGTTTCATTTTAGATTACATGACATACTCGAGAGTAGCCATCAGCTTTGGAGGGTTCAGCCATGGCAGCCAGCCCAAAGTCAGGAAGTCATGGCAGGAGGGCCCAAGAGAGTACGACTGCCCACCTCACGGGGCCCAGGAAGCAGAAAGAGAGGGGCCGGGACAGGATTCACCCTGCAGAGGCACAGTGAGCACCTTCTTCTTGGGATGCCCACCCCTGACAGCCCATTCAGTTGCAAAATCAGTGGGTCAGTCCCTCAGGACACTGGTCATCGGGACCCTTCACATTTACATCAGGACACTCGGAAGTTGTCTTCAGGAGAACTTGGTTATTAACTGAGTTGTCTTTTTCCCCCAGTTTTGATCTCCTCGTCAAATTAGAGTCAGTACAGTTTGTGTTGATTTAAGGCATAGATGGTAAAGTCAAGAGCCTTGTTTTCAATATCTCGGTCCCCTGGCTACCATTGGCTAAGCTGGAGGCAACTTAGTTCTCTATTCGGAGACAGTTACCTTGTTTATAGTACTTTTTTTTTTTTTTTTTTTTTTAAACCAGTACTGGGGATCGAACTCACGACCGCCTGCTCGCAAGGCAGGTGCTTATGCCGCTGAGCTAAATCCCCAGTACAGTTACCTTGTTTATGAGAAGCTTTGAACATAAAACATTCTAGAGGTTCCATCCAGTATTCTAGACATTTATTAGGACAGAAATACAGGCGTGCTGATGGTGCTGTTCCATGTTCTAGCAGAGACTGGAATTTACAAGTAGCAGTATCTGGTCACAGAATTCTGCCCTGTGATTCGTTCCTCCTTTGCTATGGGGTTCGAATTCCAGCGTGAATGTGGTGACCCTTTCACGGAAGCAGGATTTCTCTTTTTGATGGAAGACAGCTGCTTAGAACACAGGCACCGTGAGCAAAGGGAAGCACTGTGTGTTTAACAGGACGATTTGCTGCTCAGTGTGGCGAGGCAGCGGCTCCCAGCTGTTTGTGTGTTAGAGCTTGCAGACAGTGCTGTCCTCCAGGCAGACGGGCGCTGGAAAGCAGCCGGCAGTGGCCTCACCAGGACATCCCGACACCTGGAAGCTGCGGCAGGCAGCTCCAGCCCTGGAGCCGAGCCCCTTACCCTGTCCTCTGCACCCAGCTGTGAGGCGGGCCAGATGAAGGCTCTCGTTTTCATCCATTTTGAAAGTCAGAGACACTTTATTTAGAGTCCAGGTTTTAACCCCAAATTACATTAAAAATATAGTTAAGGCCATGTCTCTTACTTCTGGAAACTGAATCCAGTAGAAAAATCACCCAGGTTATTCTTTGCCAAATGACACTTCCTGAGAAGAAATTTGGACCACTGATGAATGGGTCTGATTGCGCACTTCTGGGGCCAGCTGTGAATGCCCTGTCGGGAAATAGTGGGAGCATTTACATAGTGAAGGAGTAACCCAAACTGCACACTTGCCACGGACCCAGCCTGCACTTGGATTGCTCGGCCCATAGTGTCAGTCGCTATGTCTTTAAACTTAGGAGGCACAAAGTGACTCCTGTCCTGTTAAGGCGGTCGACTCTGCACCAGTTCGCATCTTAGCAAAATGATGGTCATTTGTTCAGGTCACACAGACCACCAGGGACAGGAAACACTAGCAGGGCTTTGGACAGTGTTTTTTCTCCTCGATTGCCTGGTAACCTCGGACTCCTACGCTCAAGCAACCCCCAGCCCCAGCTCCAGTGCCTGGACCACTGCGGCCAGCTGCCTTCATCAGTTTGGCCAGTTCTGTTAAATGTTGGGCTTCCCTGAAAGCCTGAAATGCAGTCAGTTCCTAGTGGTCGCCCCTCAAAGACTCGCCCTCTAAAGGTGCCTCGCTCATGTAAAAGTCTGCCGCGTGCCGTACACTGCCAGTGGGCTGTGTGTGCGCTTGCCAGCGGCTGCTTTCAGACCAGCACCTTGCCTCTGAACGCTTGTACACTCCCAGCCATCAGGAAGCCAGAGAAATGTAGGTACCCACTTAGATTGGCTTGGCAAATGAAGGCTTCTTTAGGAGCAAAACGCTTGATTTACACTGCACCTCTGTAGGATATAACTTGTTCACCCAGGAACACAGCCACATTTCACAGCGCATCGAGTGTTTCACTGCATAGTCCAACAAAAGCCCAGCTCACTTGTCTTACGTCTGTGCTGTTTTCTTCCTTCCCGTGTTCTGGTTGAACTTCCTTAATATACCATTGTTTATGACAGCACCAACGTGGGCACATGCAATGTTTCTATATCAGTTTTTGCATATCTGTCGCATAGAAAAGTGTGTTTACTTTCACAAGAAACATACTGTCTTCCAGTTTTCTAAGAGACAAAGTGTGTTTGGTGAGCATTTCATGTTCTAAAGTTTGCTGATGCCATGTGTGCTATTCCCGAAGCATCACAGGTGTTCTGACATGTAGAGGTCACAGACACCCCATCTCAGCCCAGCCTTTGCTGGCCCTTCCACGGGAGAAGGCAGGCCCAGTGTGGCTTAGTTTCAGATTCTTCAGACGCCAGTGCCAGCCAGGCTCCCAACCTGGCCCGGACTGTGTGTGTGGAGCAGAGGCCTAAGCACCGGACATCTGACCGTGTTCAGAGTGGAGGCCCTGAGGCTGGAGCTTTTCTTGCTGCGCTGACCTGTTCTGAGACTTCCCTTTGTTCTGAGTTAATTCCTTAACACAGTGGAAGTGGAGCCGATTCATCTCTGCCTGCCCGCCTGCAGAGGAAGCAGAGCCCTGTTCTGTTTGGTACTGTTTCCTCGGCAGGCAGTCCTTTAGGGAGAGGAGGTTGGCTTTCAGTCATCACATCTGCCACCAGGTTTTATGCCAAGACACTGTGTTAGCCATTTGAAGAGCCATGAGAAATGACTAAAAATAACATACTTCCCTTAGATGATTCCTTATCTTAGACAAAAATGAGCCCCAAAGAAATGTGTACTATTGGCACCCTTAAGGATTAACATTACTGTTATAAAATTTAACTTCATGAATTTATAAACATTCATTGAGTATAGCTATGTATCAGGCCCCTTTCTTGCACATGGAGGGATGGGAGCACTGGGCCAGGCTCTCGGCGAACTGCCCCGACCAGCAGCGGAAGCAGGTTTGAGACCCGCCCATCCCCGCGCATCGGTGATGGCAAGGTTCACGGAGCACACACACCATGCTGCGCCTCGACCTCTCCCCGGGGCCCAGAGCGTGAGGTGGAGCTGCCCGGCAAATGCTCTTTCCCACTCTAGAAACTTACTGAGGTCTCCACGGAAGCTTTGCCAAATGAGCCCTTTAGTCTTCTCGGTCTGTTTTCTGGGCCACACGGCGATGTTAATTTTACAGAATTTTATGGGTATGTGTCTTGTCAGATTTCTGAAATGCTAACACTTGCCCTGATTGTGAGCCGCCCCACTTTAGTTATTAGACAAAGTCACAAAGCTGAGTAGAAAAGTGTAGGAAGAAGGGTGGATGTGTGGCTCAGTGGTTGAGCACTGTCTGACGTGGGCATGGCCCTGAGTTGGAGCACGTGAATGCACACAGGCATGTACATGCATGTGCCTGAGAAGTGCAGCACGTGAGTGCACACAGCCATGTACACACGTGCCTGAGAAGTGCGGCATGTGTATGCACACAGGCATGTACACACAAGTGCCCGAGAAGTACAGCACGTGAGTGCACACAAGCGTGTACATGCACGTGCCTGAGAAGTGCAGTGATTGCGGCCTCTGGACTCACAGTGGGTCTCTTTCCCTCCTAGGTCCTTCCCAGTCCGCATAACAAGGGCAGCAAAGTGGCCAATGCCCCGGACCAAGACACCCAGGAAAAGGAGGAAAAGGTGAGGGCCCCTCTTGGCTTCTAAGGATTGTCTTCATTTGCACGGCTGAGGAGCACCTGGAGACGGGCTTGAGGAGCATCTGTGTAGACTTGTGTGTGCATGTGCGTGTGTGTGCATGTGTGTACACATCTGTGTGTCCTCCCTAGGCCCTGGTTCTGACCAGAGCCAAGGCCAGAAACCTGTGATACACAGGCACAGATGGGGATAAGCCAGCCGTCGCTGGGCCATGTGGGCAGCATCCTGCTGGGCAGGGCACCTGTCCCTCCAGGCACTGCTGAGACCCGCCTGGCTCTTCTCCCGGCTGGAGGGCCCTGTGTCCACTCCTGGAAGACTGCTTTCCCCTCAGTCAGCCATCTGCCTGGGATCCCTCTGCTGCGCCAATAGAATTTATGGCCTGAATGTTATTTTAGGAACTAGTGTCGGGTAAGGGTGAAACCTCACCTTTTCCCATAAAGATAAATAGTATCTGGCCCCTCTGTAGTAGGGTCTCCTTCACCCACTGACTTGGAGTGCAGCCCTGCCCTGCCTCAATTTACCAGCTACGGCAGGTCTCTTTCTTTTTTCCGTTTGGACCGAGTGTCTGTCTACATATGTGCTCCATACCCAACCGTTGCACCTTGTAATGAACCTCATTTTCTGGGAGAGCAGTGTATTTCCACCTTCTTCTTCTAAAGCCATGTCTGTGTGCGGCCATCTTTTCTGTTTAAATTTAGAATCCCCCACCCAGAAAAAAATCCTCCACCCCAGAAAAAAAAGTCTTGGAATTTCAGTTGGAATTGTGTTGAATCTGTATATTATTTTGAAAAGAAGTTGGCTCTCTCTGATGATGTATTTTCTGTTTGTTGCTAACGTGCAGTCATAAAATTAATTTTCTTGTGTGTATTTGGTGTTTTATAACATTGTTCTCTCATTCTTTCATAGCAAGACTGACCTAGTGATACAAGCTGAGAGCAGGACAACGCTGACATTAAAAGGAAAAAATAAAATGTCTACAATCCTGCCCTCTAAAGACAAACCTTTTAAATATATCCTATATGGCCTTCTAGTGTGTTTCTGTACCCACAAATATATAAAGTATTTTTAAGGAGAATGTGGACCTCTAATTCTAGTACTATATCTGTAGATTTTCATTTTGAGATGTTTCTGTATAGGTAATAGATACATTGGGACAAGGTTGCTTTGTTTCTCTCTTTTCAGTATTTCTTTTTATCTCATGGTAGCTGCTAAGACTTTCAGTTGTGCATTTAATGAAAGTAATGAAAGTAGCAGAGAACCTTCTCGTCTCTTTCCTTTTGATAGTTACAGGGCCTTGCTATGGAATACGCTGTGTGCTGCAGGGATTCGTAGGCAGTCCGGGTTACGGAGTCTTTGTCTTTCACTTTCGTTTTACTAAGAATTCTTACTATGAACGGCTTGATGTTGCATTTTATAAAACATTTTATTCAGTGGAGTAATTATGTGTGTTTGTGTACAAGTTTTTTTCTCAGTGAATCCCTTAATATGGTAAATCGCATTCACAAATGTCAGAACGTGAGACAACTTGAATTCTTGGGTTAAACTTAATTTGATCATAGTCTATTTTTGCCTTTTGCTAATAGTATTTCTTTTATGGTTTTTGTATCCATGATCGTACATGAAATTAGTCTGAAGTTTTGCTGTGCTGACCTATTAGAATGTTCAGTAGATGTGTGTCTTTTTAGTCTTCCGACAGTGTGTGTGGAATTGTTATAACTAATTTCTTCATTGCTTAGCCAATTAGCCTCTAGGTCTGTCTTCCATACGGGAAAAAGTAAAATGCTGACTTGATTCTTTAGTAGTTACTGAACTATTCAAATGTTCTGTTTTTTGTTGGCTGTGGACTTGTTTCTAGGCATTCCGGGCAGCACCTAAGTTAACATTTGTGGAGGTGAAGTCATTCTGTCTTCTCTGCATTTATCGTCTCCTGTTCATGTAGTTCTTGTAATTCTGAATGTAGTTCATTGCCTAAATGTTTCTTGATTAATCTTAAAAGTAGTTTTTCATTTAATTCTTCTTTTTGAAGAATTAACCTGTGAACTGTGTTGGTCTTCTCCCTTGAATTATTTTCCTGCTTAGTTAATTTCCTTCTCTTCTTTATATTGTCTTATTTCTTTCTTTGGGTTTATTCTCCCTCTCCAAGAAATCTTTACTTTCTTGTAAAATTAATTAATTTTTTACCTTTCCTGAGACCCATAGATTTTCTTCTGTGTTTAATGCATCTCCATATTTTAAGTTTGAGCCAGGAGGGATGAGGCACTCTTGGAATGCCAGCGCTGAGGGTGGGGGGCAGGGAGCTGGGGCAGGAGGGTCACTGCGAGCTCAGGGCCAGCCTGGGCTGCATAGCAAGACCCTGTCAGAAAACAGACTAATGCAATAATATTTTAAATAGAACATCTGTTATCCAGTCTTTTTAGACTTCCAACATGAGTCCTCTTTTATTCTAGGTTTATTTAGAAACCGTGTCTTTAAATGCTCATTTGAATATTTTAAAAGGGCTTTTGATTTGTAACTTATTTCCATTATAATCAGAATTTGTGTAATGTTAATTCTTCAACATGTGGTTGACTTTTTATTGCCTAGTACATAGTTGGTTTTTGTAAAAGTTTCATTTGTGACTAGAAAGAATAGCTACTCTACTTATTGGGTACAGGCTTTTTTAAAAATGTGTTTATGTCTAATTCAGTTATTCAGATACAGTATTCAACATACTGTACTGTCTTATTTTTCTTAGTATGACTTAATAATTGCTCATTTTGATGGTAAAATTAGACTTTCTTCAAATCATTTTTAGGTTTTGTTTAACATGTTTTCAAATTAATCTCTGAGGTGCTTTTAAAGTTTGAAATTATGTGTTCTTCAGGAGTCCACACTTTGAGTCTGTGGGCACAGGATGTGATCATCACATAACCTCTGAGCCCACGAACCTCTGTGGGTTCTGTATTACCTCTGAGACCACAGAAAACATGCCAGCTTTCTCTCCATGTCTGCCTGGGGTTAGGCTCTGGGGTTTTTGAACTATACACATGCAGTGAATCCAGGTCTCCACCCTGGGCGCCTCTGCCTTGAACAGAATCCCCGGGGATGCCTTTCCTCCTTGTGTCTTCCAAATCAAGCCAGACCCAGGCTGGTAGCTATCCTTGCTGTCTCCTGTGGCCAGGACTTTGGTTTGTCTAAGGTAACTGCCTTGTCTTCGCCTACTGAAGATTTAGAAATTTAAAAACCAGCACTGAGGCAGACACTGGGGGAGGCTTGAGTAGAGACAGAGGCTGGCCTGCCACAACAGTGGCTGCGATTCCAGGGCAGCTTCCTGAAGGGATCCGCAGTGCTGGGCTATTAACCAGAGGGAAGGCCCGTCTGCTGCACCTGCTTGATCTCCATCCTGCTGTTCACAACTTCAGCACCAGGATTCTGTGGCTTCTCCCTGGTGGCCACGAGTAAGCACAGCTAACAGAGACCGAGGTCCCTGCCAGCCGAAGCCTTAGGTAGGCACAGCTTCCTGGAATCCTGGCAGACCCCCCCAGCCTTCCAGGTGGACAGGTTCATCCCTAGGGACGGGCTCAGGAGAGGCGGCACTTGGGACTCAGTCGTCCTCAGCTCTCATCAGATGGGAAGGAGCAGCCCTTGCCTAGTGACATGGTGCGAGAGTCTGGACAACACTGTCCGTCCTCACAGGAACCAGACCAGTGGCTCCTGAGAACCAGCGCCTGGGGGAAGGGCGGAGGAGAGGGGCCCGTGGAGCAGGAGAACCTTCGTCGTCTGGGTTGTGCCAATGGCCTCAGCTCTTTCCGGCTGTACCCAAGTGCAGGTTTCTATGGGCCAGTTCTCTCCCAGTTGCATGCACTGGAGCTGTAGAGACCAACAGAAATCTCTGTCCTCTCAGACCCAGGATTGGTGGGTAGCAGGGCCAACAAGAGAGAATCCAGTGGCTGCTAACTTGGTGACAAGGGAGGAGACCCGTGTGATGTGGCCCCAGAGAGGAACCAGTGTTGTTCCTTCAGGCCAGGGACACATTATCTTGCTGTCCCCCTCCCTACTGCTGGGCACCACCTCATCACCTGACAGACTTGTGACTAACTCATGTGAGTGAGTACAGGATCCCTAAACAGACAGCACCTCGGAATTTAGGGCCGATGACTGGCAGTGCCCTTCAGGCGTGGGCTACCTTGTGTGCCCCGCAGATCTGGGGCCTGAGGTTGTTTTAACCTCAGTCAGAGGTTATAGAGACCTATAAATATCTGTCATTTTGTGTGGTTTAAGGGTTTCTCCAAAACTTCGGACTCCCTTACTGCTCGGATTGAAAGGATTCAGTGTTGATCTGAAGACCCGAATCCTCACAGGAGACTGGTGGGCTGGTCGAGGAAGGGAAGGGGCAGGTGTCCCTTTCTGCAAGCCAGTGCAGACACTGTGAGTAGAGGAGAGGCCCAGGAATGAGGGGTTTGCGCAGGAAGTTTCCTCCACGGTCCTAGGGAGCCGCTGCTATGGTCCTGAGTGCTTCCACATGGCAGGGGCTCTGTGTGCCATAAGGACCTCATGGGGTCCAGCAGCCCAAGGCCACGTGTGCCCAGCAGCGTCCCAGTTACACTGAGGAGCAGCTCACCCCTCAGTGTGTGTGCGCCTGCAGGTCCCGGCAGCTCTGTGCTGGCTCCCGAGTCTCTAAACCACGCCTGCGGTGCCCAGCCGCACACTCTACTAATAGCAGAGTACTTTCATGCGGTGAGGGCAGAGTAACTGAAGTGAGCACAGTGCAATTAGTGTGCAGCTCCAGGGCATGTGTTTTCCTGCCCTGATCCGGGAGGGAGGCTCCGTGGTGACCCATCTCCTCACTCTTCAGAAGTTATCCCGGAAGTTATGGTTTCATATTGTTCTGTTTTTAATTCTCTCTCCATCTCTCCATCCCTCCTCTCTGATACTGGGGGCTGAACCCAGGGCCTTGCACATTTTGACCAGTGCTGTGTCACTGAGCTGTTGTCCCCAGGCCCCTTTTTGAATTTTAAGACAGTCTTGCTAATTTGTCCAGGCTGACTTTGAATTTGAGATCCTCCTGCCTCAGCCCCCAAGTATCTGGGATTACAGGCATGTGCCACCATATCCAGCAAGAGCTTTTCTTTCCTAGGGACCCAACACATGTTCAAGTACAAAAGTACCAGCCAGCAAAGAGAGTGCCTGACCTGCACATTCCTTGTTGTCTCTCAAGCAGTGGAGACCAGAGCCCTCTGGAACCAGCACAGAGTAGCTCTCACACTCCCAGCCAGTACCTCCACGTGGTCAAAGCAGAAAACCATCCCCACTTACTGCTGCTGTGACTACTGCCAGACCCGGGTCACAGCCTTCTCACGCCCAGAGCCACCCTTGACCCAGTATCAGAAACAAAAACAGAATTGGAAATAAAAAGCAGAGGAACAATAAAAAAAGAAAAAATCCTGTTGTCCAGTGGAGTTTACTGTGTGGCTGAGGCCCACATGGAGCTGGTTCTGGAAGGGGGGCCCACTCCCGAGCTGCCAGGTGTGACTCCCACAATACCGCACCATGTGCAGGCCCAGGGTCCGCAGGCTTCCTGGTCCAGGGTGCTGACTTGACTGCAGGGAAGAGAGCCTGGCTGGGCAGTGGCAGGTACTGCGCTACAGACGGCACGTGGGGCAGGAGGGCTGGGACCTCTGCAGCTCCCATGCAGGACTGGACTGCTGTGTGTCCCCAGTGAGGTCAGCCAGGTGCTGGGACACGGTGTTTACCTGTCAGGGAGCCGGGGCCGCCCAGGGTCAAACGGTTGTGCAGTCACTCAGCCCACCCTGCAGGAGGCACCAGCGCACAGTGTCTGCCCTGTGGGTAGCCTCCCCTGCCTGGCAGTGTGGCCTCGCTGTCCCTGGGATCCCGGGGGTAATGGGGCGGCATGCAGGGCACTCAGGAAACCACATGTGGCCAGGAGCCCAATCCCCTCGGTCCACCCACCTGTAGGTGCTGTGCGTGCAAGAGCTTAGCTCTCTGTGTTCCCAATACTGTCCTCAATGTCAAATAAAACTGCTTCTGAGAAAACAGGGTTCCGGGAAATAAATGGTTCACTTTTTCTCTTCATTTGCTTTACATTTGTTTCTCAATGTAAAAGCCTTGAAACACAGTGAAGGCGTTTTTGTGTCGCTGCTTAGCAGCGCTTCCTGTGGGCACCCTCCCTCCATCGCCTGTGCATCCCATGATACTGGCATTTTCTACAGCTACACAGATTACTGCTCGAACTAGACACTGCCTTGAGCGCACACGCGTGCTCCTTGCGGAATCCCAGGTGCTGTCTCTCTTCCGCCTGGAGGAGCCCCTGTGTCTGCCTCCTTTGCGTGGCCGCCGCCTACTCCCTAGTCAATGCCTGTCAGTGGGTTTTTTCCTTTGGAGCATAATTGAATGCACTTGAAGCAGCAGCAAAACAAACCTCACCCTAATGCTGAGACATTGTGAGGCTCAGTGGGTCGTGTGTTCTCTGCAGAGTTGTGACTCTCAGGGAGGTGAGGCATGTTTTTTTCTTCTGCACGCGTAGGAAAACATCTTTATTCTGAGAAGGTAATAGATCTTAGAGCTTTATTCCACTTTAGTTCTCTAGATCAAGTATTGTTGTTTGACATGTAAATGAAAAACTTATTTATGCAGAAATAATTACAGTTTCTTTTTAAAACATTAAAGTATGGGTTGCCCATCTATACATTATGCCTTTCCAGTTAGAAAAATCTTGATATTTCAAATACTTTACAATCTGTAACTTTAAATGAAGAATTTAAATAATTGCAGAACTAATGTATCAGACAGTTTTTACTTTTAGTTTTTTCCAAAGAAATGTCTTTCATAGAAATAATTTCATTAATATCAAAGAAGGCTGTGCTTCACAACCTAAAGAACATGCGGGGACCTGGCAGCCCTTTCTCCCTGGGGGAGGAACGAGTGCAAGGAGGTCGGGAGGCCAGCAGCCTTTGAGGCTGCGCTTTGAGTTGGAGTTGTCTGCTTCTGTGTTTATCGGAGCCCTTTTAAAAATGTGGGGAGCCTAAGGGCACGGGTGCCCTTTGTTCTATGATCTTCAAGAAGGAGGCTGTTGGCGACCCCGAGGCTCTCCGGGTGGTCTTCTCATGCCTGTGGAGAGGGGGAAAGCTCACGCTTCTCTCTAATTCTGCATCCTCAGAGGCGAGGAGCAGCCCCACCGCCAATGAAGCTACCTCCCCCGTACCAAGACCCTGCTGTGGAGGCCGAGGAAGAAGAGGAGGAAAAGGAGCCTGCCCGGCAGGACCAGGATGGTGAGTGCAGCACGTCGTCATGGTTCAGCCCTGCCCACGGCTCTCTGCAGTCGGATGCGGGCCGGTCCCTCTGTGCACCCAGGCATAGGACAGGAAGGAGCTCGGTCTCTGAAGCTCCATGGTCTGCTCTGAGCTCCTCTGTAATGACAGGGTGAGTCTGGACTCCTGGCTGTCTCGGGGACTGGATCTAACCCAGGACAGTCAAGCGAGTTGTGGGTGACAGCATGGTCATGTCACTTCCCCGAGCCACGATGACATTGCAGGACACCCACTGAGTCTCATCTGCCCTTCAGAATTCATGGTTTTCTGTTGCATTAGCCGAAACAAAATGCATCCCTACAGATACCTCATTGGAGACTTTGTCTCAGGGGTTGGCATTTCTTTGTGCATGGACAGCGTGCAGGGTTGGGTCTGACTGCTGTTGCTGTGCGGTTGCTCTGAGGGTGATGTGAGTGTTCCAGAGTTACATGAGGGACTCCGTCCAGGAATACACTGAAAACCACTGAGTCACATTTCCTGACTGGGTCTTGTCACAGGGGGATGTGTGTGTGCTCCCTTAGAGGCAAATTTTCTGTCTGCAACACAGAAAAGGGCTGAAGCTGGAAGTTCATTTTTGCATGCGACCTTAAGTCTTGTGGGTCCTCTTTGTAGCCCCGCTCCCCAGGGTGTGGCAAGGACGAAGTCCACGGCGAGCCTTCCGCTGGCTACCCACTGTGTCTTCACAGATGTTCATGCTCTTGTTATTGCTGATAATTATTATTAAGGCGACTTTATATTTAAAATATATCTTATGGAAATAAAATGTGTAGATATACCTAACTATAGTGCTCAAGTTGGCTTTAAAAACTTGGTTTATCTTGGGCAGTTTTACAGGCCCCTTTTGTTTTGCATGATTGCTTGTCTTTATTTCTTTGAACCAATCTTGGTTGACTGTTATCAGCATTTAGAAACTGTATTAGTGGGCCTGTCACAAACTAAATCAGACATAGCGCCCTGAGCCAGCTGGGATTTCCGCCTGACAGGGAGGAGCACAGGCCCAAGAGTGGCTGACGTGGCTGCTGGGTGGAAGTCCTCAGCCCCTGTGGGTTGGGGGCATGTCATAGTGCCCTTTGCTTCATGTGACTGGCATGCTGGCGGTAGTCCTCGAGCACTGTGAGACAAGCTCACCATTTGGAATGTGGGTGGCCATGGGTGCCTCAGTCTCCAGGTGCTGGGAGGCCAACGCACCCATTGGAAGCCTGGTTTAGCTTCCCAGAAGGGCTCTGGGTGTGGCCCGTGTTCCGCATGCATTGTTTACTCTGTCCGGCACCCACTTGCTCCTCAATGAGCCCATACAGGTGTCCCCCCAGTTACCTGCCTGTGACGAGTGCTGCCAAAGAAGTTTGAGAGGTCAGTGTAAGGGTAAGAGCTGTGACCAGGGCCAGCCCTGCTCTGAGGCTAGTGAGTGCGTGAGGGCACTGCAGTCACCTCTGGGAGGCTCTGAGTGCGCAGAGAAGGAAATCGGGCTTGGAGGAATTAAGGGATGTGACACAGTCACACAGCTAACAAACAGCCTACTGGGACTCACAGCCAGCGGTCAGGGCTGCAGTGCCAGTCCCACCAGCGTCCACACCACTGTTCCCTGTAGCACAAGTGGGCACGGAGACACATGGGCTGTCACAGGGAAGCCACTTTGAAGTCGTGAGGTTGAGGGTACATCAGCTAGTGGGCATGGAGTCACCTCTGTGGCAGCAGGGTCAGGACCAGGGCAGGACAGGTGCCATGTCCACCGAGAGCAGGGTCGGGACGGCACCATCTACACTGCAAGCCAGAGGCCTCCTGGCAGCTTCTGCAGGTCTGGCTCCCCCAAGTCTGTTCGGCTGTGAAGACACCTCCCCTTGGGTTCCCTTCCTGTCCCCGAGCGGTCAGTGTCACCATCTGCAGGGGAGCCTGAAGCACTCAGAAGTTCAATTTTCTGGTCTAGTTGAAGGCTGGCCAGAGCCTGCTCCCCTGTATCCTCTGGAAGGGACCTCATGGGTTCTTCCCTGTCCCTTAACCCTTCCTGAGTTAATGCTCTGCTCATCACCAAACCCAAAAGCAGTCAGGACATGGTTCTATCAGATCCCAGCCATCTGAAGATGAATCATTCTTTATGGTGGATAAATGCAATTACACAACTCCTGGCCTCACAGCCCCGCAGTGGACGGCTGGCACTCCCCTGGGAAGAGCCCCCTCAGGCTGCAGGTGTGAAATGTGCATGCTGGGAGCCATGAAAGGCTGTGCTCCCACGAGCAGGTGTTACAAGTAGGAGACTCGGTCTTGAGGGTGGCAGGGAATACAGACTGGTAGTCTGGTAGGCAAGAGAAACTATAAAAAGAAGACAGTTTAAATGGTGACGAGTGCAATGAGATAAGACAAAATAAACAACACTAAAGGGAGCTGAGGCAGGAGAGCTGCATGTCCAAGTCCTTCCTGGGCAACTTAGGGAGACCCTGTTTCAAATTTTAAAATAAAAAGGGCTGGGTGTGAAGCTCAGTGTGAAGACTCTAGGTTAAATACACAGTGCTGCAAAATAATAATAAGTAAGTAAAATGCAAAAAAAGTATTATGAAAATAAGTGCTTGGATGAGGCAGAATTGCAGTGGCCAAGAAAGGAAAGGTAGGAACTGAGCAAAAGATCAGGGCGGTGTGGTCGTCATGTGGCCGAGAGTTTTGAGCCCACGTGGAAACCGCTCTTCTACCACAGCCACACACACAGAGGCAGGAACATTTATACAGCACTGAAACAGAAGGCTCCCAGAGCAGCACCCCTACAGTATGGTGGATTGTATGCTTTTTCTGTATTATTTCATTAATAAAATGTGAATTGCAGTTGCATTTATTTCATGAGTTGCAACAACTGAGTTGCCTCCTTTGCAGAAGAAATGCCTGTCTGGATCAAAGGTCTGCCATCTGAAGCCTGGAAAAGCTCGTCAGAGCGGGAGTCAATGACCCCATCACGGTTTTTCATTCTTGAAGACGGGGAGGTCCCCACTTTTACAGTCCAGTTAGCTCCTCAGTGATGGGGTTACTTCTGACTCCAGGACCACACTCTGAAGCCACTGGTCTGGATGGCGAAGTCCTGGGGCAGAGGGTCCACTGAGGAACAAGCCCCAGCCCAGGAGCCTACTGCCCAGAGCCCTCGAAGGAGATGAGAGTGGGCCCAAGAGACCGAGTCTCAGGAAGGACATGTCTCTGCTGCCTAACCCAGCAGTCCACTAATGTGCCGCTGAAAGGACCAAGAAGCTGGAGACAAGAATACTCATTGAACCGCATACCAAGGAACTGATTAGGAAGAGGATGAAAAGAGGGTACATCATGGAGGAACTAGCAGAAGAGACTAAACGTCACACAGCACATGGTGCATGATAGAGCCTCCTTTTGCATTGCCGAACGCATCTCAGGGCACACTGTGCCTGACTGCCTAAGTCTTGTCATCATTAGTGAACCCAGTTTGCCTGGATTTTAGTAAAGCGTTAAGGAGTCAGAGGAATAAGGAGCAGCTGGATGCTCGCTTGGCAGAACCACAGCATCAGCCACCTCGGATCTGATGGAGAGTGATGGTCTGGAAGCTCTGGCACTCTGAGGACAGAGGCATCCCTGCCACAGCACAGCTGCATTGCCCCGTTGGGGCCCAGGATTGACAAAAGCCTGGGTGTTTGTACCAGGGCTTCAGAGCATGCACTTCCAGCCTTGCCTTCCTCTGGTCTCCTTCCCGGGTGTCCCTGGGCCCCTGGGGAGACACTGCTGGTCTGAAGCACCTTGAAGCCGTCCACCAAGATGAAGCATCCATCCCCGAAGGCTGCTGACTTTTGCTTTCTGTTCTCACTGTCGCCTGTCGCCATTACTAGGCTGCATCTGCCCCCTGGAGTAACGTGCTCTTCTGTTATTATTTCTCCTCTTTGTAGTAGATCAGCAAATACTGATGAGTTTTCCTTCTCATTTTTTTCTCAAATTTATAGTCCCCCACTCCCCACCTGAGGACCAGCAATTGAACCCAGGGCTCAGGTGTGCCAGGCGAGTGCTCGACAGCCCAACCCTTTGTTTCATTTGGAGACAGAGTTTTGCCAAGTTGCCCAGGCAGTCCTCAAACTTGTGGCGCTCTGGCTGAGCCGCCCCAGCAACTGGGATTCCAGGCATGTGCCGCTGTGTCCAGCCCCTTACATCTTTACTGAGGGATTTTAGTAATGACACGATGCTGCTCACAATTTACCGCTGTGCGCACGCCTCTGGATTAGTCATTGTGTCTTCCTTGGGTATGCAGGACTCTTTGAGCTGATAGCAAACTTCCTGCTCCCATCAGCTCCCTCCCTTTGTTTGGAAGTCCTGCCTGATTCTCCCTCCCACATGGGTTTCTCCACATTTCTGCCACTTGGCAAAGCATGCCGTGTAGCATAAGGGTGGGGTTAATGCTCAGCTTCCTCGTGAGCCCTGCGATTCCCTGAGGTGAGCGGCTCCTCGCTCATGGCCGGTGCCTGACGGAGGTTCATATCTGGGATGGCAGAGGGCCTGTGCCTGTGCACTTGCTGGTAGGCTGCCCTGAGGTCAGCTTGTGCGTGGCCTGCACCTCAGGCCCAGCACTGCTCTTCCCCTGCGCAAGCCCTTCTGTCCCCCAGAGAGGAGCGGCCATCTCTAGGAGTCCAGCCAAGCTGCCCTGTAAAGTTAGCCCAGTCTCCAGCCGTGCAGATTCCTGACTCAAGGCCTCTCCACGTTTTACTTCAGTTCTTCTCATTTGCTTTCATTCGTTTGTAGGGACAAGATGCTGGCTCAGGCCTCCCAAGCGAGTTTATCACCAAATCGGTCCTCGGAGCCTCCGTGGGTTCAGAGGGGATTCCTTTCTTAAAAAGCGGCTTTACTGGGGTGCAGCTTCCTTGGCAGATAGGCAGCTCACCCGGTGACAGGGCATACTCCAGCAGCTCTGCAAGGGCAGCACAAACACCGAGACCCAGGGTCTGAGGCAGATTTCTTCACACCAACGAGCA